GGGGGGAACAGAAAGAGTAAGAGGAGCACTGCAAGGCTGAACAGAACCCTCTCCCTCCCCACTACGGAACTCGGGATACGATCAAGGAATGACTAGATGACCAGTTGCAGCTTCGCTTGCAAGAAACCAGGAGGGAAATCGCAACGGATTTTTCTTTTTCTCTCTCATTGCGATAGTTAGTTATTCGCCTGTTATTTGCGGTTTCCAATGGGAGGAACCCCTTTTTCCATGTACGGTGTGCAATGGCTCGCACAGCTTTTCTACGTATGAATGTCATCAGCCGATGTTGCTATGTACGTCGTGTGCTTTCCTGCTGGGTTTTGACACTCTCTCAACCGATGTTGTTATGTACGTCGTGTGCTTGCCTGCTGAGTTTTGACTCTCTGTGTGTGTGTGTGTGTGTGTGTGTGTGTGTGTGTGTGTGTCTGTGTGTGTATGTGTGCGCTAGGCGTTTTGGGGGAGGAAGGGAGGAGGGCGGGGGCTGCGCAGTTCTGATTGTGGGCATGACAGCCATCGCGCGCGTTTTCTTTCACCCCATAAACTCCCGCGCGCACAAAGCCCCACACAGAAGGGTGAAGTGCAGGAAAGGATGATGTGGAGGAGATGGAGTGTGGGAGGAGATGGAGTGTGGGAGGACGACGAGATACGGAAAAGAGACATCGAGAAGGATGAGAAAGATGAGGAGGTGGAACCATGGGAAGACAATACAGAAAGTGAAACGAGCATCAGTAACGAGAAAGATAAACGAAATCACCATAGTAGCCTCCTACCCCTTCCACAATAGCATCCTCCTTCGCCTTTCACCATAACCACCTCCTCCTCCTCCTCCCCCTTCTCCTCTCCAACTTCTTCACGTCAGTATCCTCATTTTCCTACCCCTTTTCTTCGTCGTCATCATCATCATTTCATCCCTCCTCTCCCTCCTCTCCCTCCTCTCCATCCTCTCCACCCTCCCTATCTTCGAATCATCATCGCTTCTCCGATCCCCTTCCTTTCCCGTGCTCGCCTGGAGGTAGGTCGGTATTGGCCTCCACGGCTTCCACATGGAACTGGACACATGCAGAGGCGGAAGTGGAGGAGGAAGGCGCGTAGAGAAGGCTGAAAAGTGCAGGATGACAATGGCAGAAACACGGGTACGAGAGGAAGACATTGAAGAGAAAGATAGGATGGAAGGAGCATGGTGAAGCGAAATAGAATGGCAAATCGGAATTAATAAAGAGAGAAAAATGAATCCACCATTGCCCTTTACGCCTTTCCCATCCCGCTTCTTCCTGCTGTCAGCAACGTCGTATTCCTACCCCTTCTCCTCCTCCTCAGCTCACTCGTTTATAGACAACCATAGTAGTTCTACGGTTCTCTCCTCTCTCTCTCTCTCTCTCTCTCTCTCTCTCTCTCTCTCTCTCTCTCTCTCTCTCTAGCCGGTGAAACTCCGGCGAAACAGTTTGTCACAGCCCCTCGTTTGTTGTCCTCTTCTCCCTCCCTCTCTGCCTAGGGTTTACCGGGCAGTTCGGTTTGACGATATATATCGTCGCAAGAATATGAGAGCGCAAAAGCGAAGAAAAACAGAAAGAAAACAAGAAAAGAATTTCGTTTTTTAATCTTCTTTCTTACAACTCCCCCCTGTTCAGAACCTCTTGCGTACAAGGCCGCCCACGATATATATATGTATGTATGCGTGTGCGTGTGTCACACAAACACAAATCAACAAAACTTGGCGTAAGCTGCTGCTGGTCTGGACTCAACCATCAATATTCTTCGGTGAGATAGACAATAATGGCACGCACGCACGCACGCAAGCAGGGCGCGGGGAGTGCGTAATGACGGGAAATGAAGCAGCCGAATCTAAAAATCTGACGATGTTGGCGAGGAAAGGTCGAGGGCGGGGGGAAGGTCGCCGTAGGGGAAAAGAAATGGGTAAATCAGGTGAAGACGGGTATTGAGACAGGATGTCAAAAGCTGGAGGGTCCGAAGGCCAACCAAAGGGAGGAGGAGAAAGGATAAGATCGCGGCTTACCTCTTTCCCGCGAAGTTGTTCACCACTCCTTCGACCAAAAAAACAAGTCTAGACTGTTGACGGCTTCCAGCATCAATCCAGAGCAGCACACTGCCAATGCTTCCGCGAGACCCTCTCTCTCTCTCTCTCTCTCTCTCTCTCTCTCTCTCTCTCTCTCTCTCTCTCTCTCTCTCTCTCTCTCT